AAATATATCTATTCAATGACTGCAGTAGGATATGTAGCCCCAGCTAGGTGCTACTTTATAGGATGCATAAAGTTAGACTTGTGTTCATGGAAATGTGTGTGTCACCTGTGTTTGCTATGAGGGTATTTGGATTGATTAGGGTCTTTGGTGATTCAATAAAATGTGGGGGGAAAACAGTATAGAAAGCAAACATAGATACCAGAGACAGTGTGGGAGGAGAGTGGGAGATGGCAGAGGGTAAGAGATAGGGAATCAAGGATGGGGTGGGGGGGAAGCAAACATACAGAAAACAAGAAATGGAAAATTATTTGCTGACAATAACATGTTTGTTGATGTGCTTAATTGAGACAATATACAGAGTACTCTGGATGGAAAATCACATTTTGTATGCTGTAATGATATACAGTGAATGAATGCAAATAAATAAATTGAAATAAAAAAATAAAATAAAATAAAAGATAAAAGTCTTGAAAAAAATAAATAAAAATAAAGTATTTTTTTTATTGCCCAGGATAAAAAAAAAAAAAAGAAAGAAAGAAAGTCCAAAATCAAAAGATTCATGGAAGCTAATGACAATGAGGACACAAGTTTCCATAATCTTTGGGACACTGCAAAAGCAGTCATAAGAGGGAAGTTTATTGGACTCCCACATGACTGACCATGGTTCAAGTTCTGGACCTGGTGGCTTGAAAATCACACCATACATATGTACATGCCCAAAATCCCAGGAAGAGAATAGAGGAGAAGGAATTGGGGTGTGGATATCCTATACCACAATCCCTTATAACACACGCCCTTATAGGAAAAAACAACAGAGTGAGATTAATGCATCATACCATTGAATTGCTTTGGTGTACCAAAAATGCTTTTGGCTTCCAACAAAGACTTTTGACTTGTAATTTTAAAGTTTTTCTTTCTTCCATGAGAGGAGAGATAAAGGCTGAGGAAAGGCAAACATCCTCAACAGGGACTCACAATGCAATCCACCTTCTCACCCCAGTCAGCCAGGACCACGCACATACCCTGCATAGAAGGTGGGCCAGGGAATCAAACCCGCGGTCTCCCGTGTGAGCCCACTTCCCCTGAACAATCCACCTTCTCACCCCAGCCAGCCAGGACCACGAGCACACGCCCTGCATAGAGGGTGGGCCAGGGAATCAAACTCGAGGTCTCCTGTATGAGCCCACTTCCCCCGAACAGGAGACACAGCTGTGCCACCCAGGGAGTCCTGACTGACAGGATTTTTATGTCATTATGTTCTTGTTATCTTAGCCTTTTATATTAATGCAAACTAAGTTATAATTAAGTCAAGAGAGTACACATATTATTTTCATTTGGAATTGTCACAATTACGAAACCATAGATTCAATCATCGCTCTGAGAGACCATAACATGCACAGTGAAGAAGCAGTTGCTGGAACACCCTGAAGTCTGAGAGCCATAGAGAAGCCTCAGCCTCAGCGCCCAGTCTCTGCACTCACAGAGAAAAAATCCTAGTCTCAACTTACCAGTGCTTGCTCCTTTAAATATGTGAAGAAAAGTCATCTATCATGCATCAATAAAATGAGTGCAAATTAATGAATTTTAATTCCTCAGAGACAGGGATCGACAGGGCCAGTAGATGGTATGGTTAGGTGTTAGGCCGAATTGACACAACCACCGCCATGTTAGACCCTCAAGGACAGAACCCAGGGAGTCTGAGACCACATAAGTAAACAAAGATGGGCCCTGACGATGCCAGAGCCAGGTCAATCTGACCTCAACTGAAGGTCCTAATCTAAACCTAAACATAATGACAGCTAGCTTTCACACACCCCCCTCCCTCAAGTGGAAAATTACTGACTGTACTTTCTGCATTGTGATTCGGAGCTATAAAAGATCCCTTTATCTTAGGCTGGGGTCCTTGTGAAGGCCTGCTGTGATGGGCTGAAACTCGAACCCCAGCTAGCTGGAAAAATAAAAGCCTCTTTTGCAGTTGCACTGTCGTTGTCTTTTCTGTGTCTCCATCAGTTAGACCCATCTCTGAACCCTTACATAGGGAAGCTGGATCACGCATGGCTGACAGAGAAGTTGGAGTCCTAGACCCAGGAGTTTGAAAAACATGCCAGGTGAGGACAGCAGGTGGAGTGGTGGTGAAGGTGCTGGACTCTGGGGGGCCCATGTGAGTCCCTACGTAATAGCTTGCTTCCTCGCTCTCCCCTTCTCTTCCTCTATTTTTCTCTGGTGAACACACGTGCCGTATAGCAAATTAAATAATAATAATAATAATAATAATTAAATAAATAATCTGAAAAGAAGGGAGGAAGAAAGGAAAATATGCCAGGCAAATATGTGTACGTGCCCAAAATCCTGAACAAAGAATGGAAGAGAGGGATTGTGACATGACTACCCCTCACTAGAGGGTAATTTTTCATTTTCTCGCTCTCTTGAGTGCCCACACCTGATTAACTAAAAAAAAAAAAAGATCAACAAAGAATTTCCCACATGAAATGTTTTAATATTCAGGCTGAAAGGTAAATCATATACTTTTATTAGAGTGCATATAATCTAAAAGTAATGCAGCAGTGCAACATTTGAAAGCCAAAAATAAAAGCCGAGCTCTAATTCAGGTTGAGAGTTTTATAAAACACACTCTACTGCCAGTTTGACAAGTTTCCACTTTACATATAGCATGATAATACTTACGAGTTGATGTTCTAATAGCTGGATTTTTTCATCCTTTTTCTTTATTTCCTCTTTAAGTTGTTTTATTTCATTTAATAAATCTTCATTCTGAAATAATGAAAAAATTAAGATAAGGTATTTGATATAATGTAATAATAAACATTACATCAATGATGAAGACCCGTAATGAATGAAGTATCTGTTTACTTAGGGGGGAAATTCTCTATTCCAAGATAAATCTTCTGAGCCGGCCCAAGGCATAGTGGTTAAGGCAGCTGGGTCCTACGGGCCAACTACATGGTTCAAGTTCCAATCTCAGGAGCTTGAAAAACACACTGGGTATGTGCATGCAGGGCCCAAATCCTAAAGTTGAGGGGATTGTGGCGTGGCCCTCCCCTCTGGGACATATTCTCATTCATTCTCTCTCTCTCTCTCTCTCTCTCTCTCTCTCTCTCTCTATTGAACACATATGCCCTAGGGCAAATTTTAAAAAAGCCTTCTAATTTTCCTGGTCTAATGAATTCTACGTGTAAGAAACATACGATAACAGCAGCACAGTTAACTATCCCTTCGAAGTACTGATTAGGTGTCGGAGACCAAGCACATTCAGGTATCTAAGCATTTGATCCTGACCATACCCCTGAGGTAGGTACTTTTAGTCCGTTTTATGAATGAGGACACAGGGACATAGCCACAGAGTAAAATAAATCATGTACAAAACAGTAACTTCACCTAGATTTCAAGAGAGGCAGTAAGAAATGTTGATCAGAGAAAACGAGGGGAACCATAAGCAGAAGAATAATTAAAAGTATAGAGGCACTCCGTGGCTGGTTCAGAAATCGGCAAAAAGATAAATAAGCCTAAGCGGCAACAGGGGAGATTATCTCTGCATGAGCCACTTCCTGGGAGCAAGGCCTGAATCGAAGAGGAAACTGCCTGTCAGCTTCGACTACCAGAAATGCCTAACACTTTTCAACAGAAACCTACAGTTAAGTAGACCTGGTTACATTTTTAAAGTGTAAAGTATTTTTAGCATGTAATCTTTCAGTCTCTACCATAGAGTGCGGACAGTCAGTGTATGTTAAGTGGAGACATGCAATGTCTCTCTTTCATAGCCTGACTTGCTTTACTCAGCAACAAATATTCCAGGGCCTTGTTGTTTTTTATAGCTGAATAGTATTCCCTGGAGTATATGTGTCACAATTTTTCAATCCATTCATCTGTCTGTGGACATTTGGGTTGGTTCCATGTCTTAGCAATCGTGAATGCTGCAGTGAAAATAGGTGCAAGTGTTTTTCCAACTGAGCGTTCTCCTGTCCTTTGGGTAGATCCCCAGGAGTGGAACTGCTGGATCATATGGTAGTTCTATTTGAAGGTCTTTGAGGAACTACCATACATTTTACAAAAGCTTAACATATTACATAAGCATCATAATCACATAAATAACGAGGAAAACATAGTTCTAAAAATGTTGCTATGTATACTATACTTTGGAAAGACTTAATTATATACGAAAATGATCAGCAGCTGAATTTTTAAAGTTTAGGGTTTTTAAAAATTCATAATCAAGACAAAAAAGATCACGGGAGACAGCAAAGGACATATTCAGAAAGACACATTTATGATAGGCAGTGAAAGAAGCTATTAAGAAATGATAAATATATGTAATAAAATTTTAAATAATCTATACTAAATTAACATGAAAGTTAAAAGCTGGAGAAAACCATATAAAGATGAAAAATGAATTAAATCTCCAGTGTACTAAGAGCCTGTCCAAACATACAAAACTACTTTCAAGGCTCCAATAGGCAAAAAAGCCAGTTCTCACAAACATACACGGAACTGGCGAAACGTTCTCTCTGACAAGTTGAAGAAATGTAAATTAAAGTATCGAAGGTAATACTTCATAAATATTAAATTAGGTGAGAAACATCCAATGTGATTAACAAGACTGCAGGAGATAATAGCACATCATCGAACACGGCAATGAGCCCCTCTAGACAAACAGAACCATCTGCATCAGAGTCACAGAAGCACTTGTGCTGACTCGGCTCTGCACTCCCAGGGAGCTGTGCCCAAACAATGGCCCACGGAGGAGAAAGCTGACCAAGCATTCGAGTTTGTAAGTTTATAGCTGTCCTTCAGTGACAGTGGAAGTACAGCCTGGAATATTACACAGCCATCGTTCATGGAGTCATGACGAGGTTTGACCAGACAGAGGAAACAGACTCAAAGAAATCCAAACACAACCTGGAGAGAATACTAACTGCCAACACGCACACAGCACTTGTGCGGCAGGTGCTGCTCTGAGGATTTTACACATAAAGCAAGCCAAAGGAGCATGTGTAGTAACCAGGTAACTCTACTATAGCAGTGGATGAGAAGGTTCTGAAGCCAGAGAAAAGTGGCAGAAGCAGAACACATCTGGAAAACTATCAGCAGTAATGCTGTTGCACAAAGGTTGTTGCACAAACTAGGCCAGGGCCAGGTCACAGTGAGTCCTGACTGTCACATATGGCCTTGGTCAGAGAGACAGATCTGTTCCAGAATTGGTGCTGACAGCTGTTTAGCAGACAAATTTGACAACAAAACTGGGTTAGGAACTTGTTAGTAAGATACTGTAATGCTGCAGATGAGACTAGGAGCCTGACCTAAGAGAGAGATACAGGGATGGAAAAGGGCAGAAGGGCAGAAAATCACAGACTTTTTCTGTTTACTATATATGAGAAAAAGGAAAGGGGAGCAGTCATGAGTGATTTACAGGTGGGCCAGTATCTGGTGTGGTGATTAAGGTGCTGGACACTCACATGGCTGATTGAGGTTCAAATCCCGAACCAGCAGCTTGAAAATCACATCAGGTGTGTGTTTGTGCATGCCCAAAATTCCAAGAGGATTACGGAAAGAAGGGATGCTTTCTCTCTCTCTCTCTCTCTCTCTCTCTCTCTCTCTCACTCTGATGGATACATATGCTCCATAGCAAAACTGAAAAAAAAAGAGAGAGAGAAAGAAATAGAGAATACAGGAAGCCAAATGTGTCTAAAGAGGAACATGTAGGAATCCAAATGTACTATTAGACATATCTGTAAGGGGGAACACAGTAAAGACGTCCAGTGGGATTAGCAAGTATGAAAGAAAAATTTCACGTTATCAATGAATATGTTATGACAATAAAAACAATTCAAAGGGGCTGAACTTAAAGTAGAGAAACCTCCAAAAAAGAGGGGGAGAAAATGATGAACGATTCAAAAGAGAACTGGCAGAAAAGTCAAGAAACAGCTTTTAAGACAAAAGGCATGCGAAAGTTTACAGCATTAAAACCAGTGACTGTGCTCATTTTTCCAGGTTTCCACAATAACCAGAAAGGGGCTTAAGGAATCAAAACAGAGTTAACGTAAGTTACTAAATTAAAGTGGGACATACAAACATGTAGGACAACAGTGGCTAGAAAGTAGAGGAAGCAGTGAAGACAGAGGAGAGCGGAGGTGGGTGCAGTGAGGTCCCAAAGCAGCAGCAGGAGAAGACAGGGCCAAGATCACTCACGAAAGGGGGGGGGACCTTAACCCACTGCTTGATCCATAAGGGAGATGGAGGGTTGACTCTCCTGTCGACCTGTACACCAGGTACCCGTGCCATGGTCCTGGGGGGTTGAAGAGACTGTGGGGGTCACACAGGAGGACCCTGGTTGGGTTGCTTGTCTTCCCTTCTAACCCCATCTCTGAGTCTCGAATAAAAATTAAAAATAAAAAAAAATTAAAAAAAAAAAGATAAGAAGACCCAGATTTAAAGGGTGCCTAGAAAACCCCGTGTGTCTATCATGTACTACTAAACACAGAAACATTATAAAGAAACATGAAAAAAATAAAGATACAAATTGAAATTAAACATTTTTTTTATTTTTAAAGAGATTTTCGCTATAGTGTGTGTGTCCTCGCCAAAAAAACTGAAAGTGAGAAATCACCCAAAGGTGGGTGATTTGGTCACACCAGAGTCCCTTCTCAATCCATTCTCCTCTCAGTACCTTGGGCACACATGCACACGTGCCCAGCCTGAGTTTAAGCCACCGCGTTGGGACTTGAACCGCAGTCGACTAGATGGGAGTCCAGCAATGTAACCATTATGTCATCTGCTGGTCCCCAAATTAAATGTTTTTCTTTAAAAATTATTTCTTTACATGTAAAAACCTGTTTTAATAAGAGAAATAATAAGGAAAGACCAGCAAATGGCATAATGGCTATATCACTAGACTCCAACAAGTTGACTGCAGTTTGAGTCCCAGACCCAGTAACTTAGCAGTGGATGAGAAGGTTCTGAAGCCAGAGAAAAGTGGCAGAAGCAGAACACATCTGGAAAACTATCAGCAGTAATGCTGTTGCACAAAGGTTGTTGCACAAACTAGGCCAGGGCCAGGTCACAGTGAGTCCTGACTGTCACATATGGCCTTGGTCAGAGAGACAGATCTGTTCCAGAATTGGTGCTGACAGCTGTTTAGCAAATTTGACAACAAAACTGGGTTAGGAACTTGTTAGTAAGATACTGTAATGCTGCAGATGAGACTAGGAGCCTGACCTAAGAGAGCGATACAGGGATGGAAAAGGGCAGAAGGGCAGAAAATCACAGACTTTTTCTGTTTACTATATATGAGAAAAAGGAAAGGGGAGCAGTCATGAGTGATTTACAGGTGGGCCAGTATCTGGTGTGGTGATTAAGGTGCTGGACACTCACATGGCTGATTGAGGTTCAAATCCCGAACCAGCAGCTTGAAAATCACATCAGGTGTGTGTTTGTGCATGCCCAAAATTCCAAGAGGATTACGGAAAGAAGGGATGCTTTCTCTCTCTCTCTCTCTCTCTCTCTCTCTGATGGATACATATGCTCCATAGCAAAACTGAAAAAAAAAGAGAGAGAGAAAGAAATAGAGAATACAGGAAGCCAAATGTGTCTAAAGAGGAACATGTAGGAATCCAAATGTACTATTAGACATATCTGTAAGGGGGAACACAGTAAAGACGTCCAGTGGGATTAGCAAGTATGAAAGAAAAATTTCACGTTATCAATGAATATGTTATGACAATAAAAACAATTCAAAGGGGCTGAACTTAAAGTAGAGAAACCTCCAAAAAAGAGGGGGAGAAAATGATGAACGATTCAAAAGAGAACTGGCAGAAAAGTCAAGAAACAGCTTTTAAGACAAAAGGCATGCGAAAGTTTACAGCATTAAAACCAGTGACTGTGCTCATTTTTCCAGGTTTCCACAATAACCAGAAAGGGGCTTAAGGAATCAAAACAGAGTTAACGTAAGTTACTAAATTAAAGTGGGACATACAAACATGTAGGACAACAGTGGCTAGAAAGTAGAGGAAGCAGTGAAGACAGAGGAGAGCGGAGGTGGGTGCAGTGAGGTCCCAAAGCAGCAGCAGGAGAAGACAGGGCCAAGATCACTCACGAAAGGGGGGGGGACCTTAACCCACTGCTTGATCCATAAGGGAGATGGAGGGTTGACTCTCCTGTCGACCTGTACACCAGGTACCCGTGCCATGGTCCTGGGGGGTTGAAGAGACTGTGGGGGTCACACAGGAGGACCCTGGTTGGGTTGCTTGTCTTCCCTTCTAACCCCATCTCTGAGTCTCGAATAAAAATTAAAAATAAAAAAAAATTAAAAAAAAAAAGATAAGAAGACCCAGATTTAAAGGGTGCCTAGAAAACCCCGTGTGTCTATCATGTACTACTAAACACAGAAACATTATAAAGAAACATGAAAAAAATAAAGATACAAATTGAAATTAAACATTTTTTTTATTTTTAAAGAGATTTTCGCTATAGTGTGTGTGTCCTCGCCAAAAAAACTGAAAGTGAGAAATCACCCAAAGGTGGGTGATTTGGTCACACCAGAGTCCCTTCTCAATCCATTCTCCTCTCAGTACCTTGGGCACACATGCACACGTGCCCAGCCTGAGTTTAAGCCACCGCGTTGGGACTTGAACCGCAGTCGACTAGATGGGAGTCCAGCAATGTAACCATTATGTCATCTGCTGGTCCCCAAATTAAATGTTTTTCTTTAAAAATTATTTCTTTACATGTAAAAACCTGTTTTAATAAGAGAAATAATAAGGAAAGACCAGCAAATGGCATAATGGCTATATCACTAGACTCCAACAAGTTGACTGCAGTTTGAGTCCCAGACCCAGTAACTTAAAATTCACACAGGGTGCATGTGAATGTTTGCCCAAGATCCCGAGAGGAGAATGGCAGGGAAGGGATTGCAGCATGGCCATTCCCCCTGGGGGGTAATTTCTTGCTTTCTGTCTCTCTGGCAAGTGCATGTACCCTATAGCAAAAATCTCTCTTAAAAAAAAAGGAGAAACTTTACTTTAAAAACTATCATAAAACTGGGACCAGTAGTTGGCATAATGGCTATGTCCCTCTACTCCCATGTATTTGACTGTGGTTCGAGTCCCAGACCTGGTGGCTTAAACTCACGCCGGGCGCATGTGCATGTGTGCCCAAGATCCCAAGAAGAGAATGGAAGAGAAGGGATTGCGGCGTGGCCATCCCTCGGGGAGGGGCGGGGGGTGATTTCTCGCTTTTTATCTCCCTGTCTCTCTCTGTTTTTCTGGCAAGTGCACGTGCCCTATAGCAAAAATCTCTCCAATTTCTTTTTTTAAAAAAGCCAGAAAAAATTATAACAAAACTTGAAAAAACACTAAGAAATCAGGCTAGGTCCATAGTCTCGTGTGAAGGGAGAGAGATCCCTGGCTCTGACTCACGGTGCTAGTCTCAGCCCCAGAGGCATGAAAACATGCTAGGGAATTTGCATATGCGCTCCAGGCCCAAAAGGATGGAGAAACAGAGAAGAAAGGATTATAGAGTGACCATGCCCCACTGGGGGATGATTTTTCTCACTTTTTGTACTCTCCAGCAAAAAAAAAAAAAAAAAAACCCTGAGGACTCATCCGAGATCATCTGAATTAAAGAAACCCTGAGAGCTCATCAGAGATCATCTGAATTAATGGTTCGACTGGGTGTACATGCAAAATTTTCTCTGAGGAGCTGGCCTGCTGCAGATCGGATGACTTAGAACATTATTATGCTTTTTCTCCCCTTTTAGGGCATGTGTGTGTACCAGAGAAAGAGAGAGAGACAGAAAGAGGGGGAAAGTACCCCTCAATGAGTTGTGGCCACACCGCAATCCCTTCCCATCTCTTCACCCTGTCAGGATTTTGGACACACACTCACACATGTACCTGGTGGGTTTCAAGCTATAAGGGCCAGAATTCAAACTGGCTAATCATGAGGGGTCTGACTCCCTTAACCACTAGGCCATGGGGCCAGCCCAAACTAAAGATGAAAAAGGATTTATCAATTTCATTTTCAGTATGTTTCTTCAATGCTATAATTATATATGGGAAGTTTCTTTCATTTTTATTGGTAGTCACAGTTTAACTGTCATAAATATAAGCAATGATTTAATTTAAAAATTCTGTACCAGTATTAATAAAGAACAAATGATTATCCAACTGATAAATTCAGATTAAAGCAACACACAGATATCATTTTAACTTTACAATATAGCAGAATTTAACACCAAAATTCTAGAGTTTTTTTCTTTTATTGAGAGAGATTTTTTTTCCTATAGGGCACATGTACTCATTGGAGAGAGAGAGAGAAACAATGAGACATGACCCCCCAATTCAGGAGGATGGCCATGGTACAATCCCTTCTCCCCCACTCTCCTCTTGGATATGCAACATGTGCCCAGCTTGAGTTTCAAGCTGCCAGGTCCAGGATTAAAACCACCAGGCCCAAGACTCAAACCACAGTAGACCAAGTGGGAGTCCAGTGCCTTAACCACCATGCCACCTGCTGGCTCCCAACTCTAGGTTTTAATGCATTATTAAATGTCTAACTAAAGAAATGTCTAAGGAAGAAATAAAACTGACTCAATTCAAAAAGTGCTACTTTATTATTTCATATATAAAAAAAAAAAATTGTAAAAAAAAAAAAAAAGCCTCCGCATGACGACTGGTCTTACCTTATATATCTGATCGTTGTCTTCGGGTTCCGGACTAGATGGCAATGACAGCTGAATATCATGCAATGAACCACTTCCGTCATGCTGCAGGGTGCAGAGTAGAAAAACAACAGAAATCAGAAACTGCAGACATTTGGTTTAAACCAAACAAACCCCAGACTAAATGCTAACATGGCAAATAGCAGATAGGAGATAAGGACCATTAGTGAACCTACTATGAAGCTATGCCTTGAGTGTCTGGCGGCTGCATAAACATCCATATGAAAAATGCAAATTGTGCATTTAAGATTGGTATATCCTAAGAGATTTACTGAATGTATGTTATACTTAGTAAAAGAAATTGAACAAGTAAACATTCTGTCCTTAAACATGATAAAGAAAATGAAGTGATGAGTTAAGCTCTATCTGTAGTTGAACTGGTTTAAGAATAAGAAATTTCATGTTCCACAACTCAGAACACCTTGAGCAGGAGGAGCCAGTGCAGAATATAACTGGGCCAATGCTGAGGAACTGAGCCCCTGACCAAGGCAGCACAGTACGGCTCGACACCTGCTTGTTCGGACGGTATTGAGCTGCCTTGGGTACCATGGAAGCAGCAACATTCAAGGAGCACCAATATCACAACAGACACATCTGTCCTCAATGTCTCAGACCATGGGCAATGTCCTTCATTCAAACCAGGGTACCACGATAGGAGAACTGAGCATTCACAGTATGTCCTTCTTTACTGTACCGCATACCTACTAAATCAAAATCTCCATAGATGGGGACCAGAAATGTGTATTTAGAAAAGTCCAACAGGCAAAGCTGACTGGCAATTAGACTAAGGTCCACCAAACTTCTGGCATGAAAAAGTTCCATTTCTGTTGGTAACGTCATATGGCCACCACCTGAGAGAAGAGGTGATCGCCTGATGAATAGCAATGGCCTCAGAATACCACATTTAAAACAACACTGAAAAAAAGGAAGGAAAGAGAAAGAAATTTTACAAGACTCATCTAAATAAAACTATCATTTTTGCTATTAATGCCCTAACATATAGAAAAATGTCCAGTCTTACATTCAAGTATATTTGAGAAAAGAAAACAAGTCACTCCTATTCAGTACTATACTGAAGTTTCGAACCAGGGCAATAAGTTAAGAAAAAAGACATAAAAGACAGATAAATAGAAAAGGAAGAAATAAAACTGTCTCTACCCAAAGATATAATTTCTCGTGAAGAAAAACCCAAAGTATCTACAGTGAAATTAATAGGACTAGGAAAGTCAAGGATAAATGGTCAGTATAGAAAAACTGACTATTTTTATGGCGAAAACAACTGAACTGAATTTTTAAAACCTACCATTTAAAACAAACCAAAATCCAAAACAAAACCAATAAAAATATCAAAATAAAAAAATTAGGTACAAATCAAATGGAATATAGACAAACTTTATACATTATAAATTATATATAGCTAGATAGATAAGTAACCATATATTTATTTGCTACTTGCCATATATGTATTTTATACACATAGAAATCAGAGAAGACGAAGTGAATGGAAAGATAGCCTCTGTCCATGGACTGACAGACTCAACATTAATGGATTGGAAAGACTTAATATTGAGAAAACAATTCTCTTCCAAATTCAGATAAAGACTCAGTACCCTCCAAATCAAAATCCCATCAGAATTTTCAGAAATTTTGTAGAAATAAAAACGCTATTTCTAAAATTTGTATCAGAAGGGAAAAGAGCAAACAGTCAGTTAAAAAAAAAAAAAAAAAAAAAACCAGAATGAAGTCCGAGGAGTCACACTACTTCGCTTTAAGACTCACTACAGAGGTCTAGTAATCAAAACACATCGAGCATGGGCAAGGGAACAAAGATCAAAGCGCAGACGAGAGTGAAAGACAACTCGCACATTCCTGATCAGAGCCATTCCTGCCAAAGCCACAGAGGAAATTCAACAGAACAAGGACAGTCTTCACATGGTGCTAGAACAATCAAACATTCACACATAGAAAATGAACTCTTCCCAAAACTCACATCATTTACAAAAACTCTCGAGATTATAGGCCTAAATTTTAAACTTAAAACTAAAAACTTCTCCAAGTAAACAGAGAAAATCTTTGTGACCTTGAATTGAGCAAAGATTTCTTTACTACAATATTAAAAACATGATACAATTAGAAAAAAAATTTGGATTTCAAGTGTTGAACTTCGACTCTTTAAAAAAAACTATTAATGGAATGAAAAGTCATGGGCTTAGAGAAAATTCTTGTAATAATTCAGTTAAAATTGTGAGCGCAGTACATTAACTTATAAAAAGCATCAAATAATTAGCTAATTTTAAACAAAAGCATCAACAAAATAATGATGTGAAGGCCTGGTATTTTTAACTAACTTATAACTCACAATTATATATCATTGCCCAAAAAGCTACTCCCATTTTCTTTTTTAGTAATTTGTTTCTGCATCTGAACACCTGATAAAGACATGTGAGATATATAAAGAATTCTCACAAATCAGTAGAAAACAGGAATCAGCAGTTAGCATAATGGCTATGTTGCTGAACTCCCATGTAGCCAATCGCAGTTCAAGTCTCGGACCTGGTGGTTTAAACTCATGCCAGGCACATGTGCATGCGTGTCCAAGATCCCAAGAGGAGAATGGAGGAGAAGAGATTGCGGTATGGATAAACACCCCCCCCCCGGGGGAGTGATTACTCGCTTTCTATCTCTCTGTCTCTGTCTTTCTGGCAAGCACACACACCCTATAGCAAAAACCTCTCCAAAAAAAAAAAGAAAATCAGTAGAATATTTTTTTTAACTAATTTATTGAAATCTTTTTCATTGCCAGAGTGTACATGTACTTGCCAGAAAGAGAGAGGGCGCACTACCCAATGGGCATGGTCATGCCACAATCCCTTCTCTATTTCTCCAGCCATCAGTATCTTGGGCATACATGCACATGTGCCTGGCAGGTTTTTCAAGCAGTCAGTCAAGATTCAAACTATGGGTGGCCCCCTACACACAGTGCTTAAATGCTATGCTACAGAGTTGGCCCCCAGAACATTTTTGGGGGGAGAGGTTTTTGCTATAGGGCACATGTGCCTGCCAGAAAGGCAGAGAGAGACAAAGAGACAGAAAGTGAGAAATCACCCCCCGGGAGGATGGCCATGCTACAATCCCTTCTCCTCCACTCTCCCCTCAGGATCTTGGGCACACACGCACATCCCCCCAGCATGAGTTTAAGCCACCGGGTCTGGGATTCACACCATGGTCAACTACATGGGAGTCCAGCCAACATAGCCATTACACCAACTGCTGGTCCCAAAACATTTTTTAATGGGAAAAAAAATCAGACATGTCACCAAAAAGAATAAATGGCAAATAATCACATGAAAAGATGCTTAACATTATTAGTCATTACATAAATGCAAATTAAAACCACAATGAGAAACCACTATCCACCTATTAGAACGGCTTTGTAAAACATACTGAAAAACACCAACGACAGGCAAGGATGCAGAATAATAGTAAATTTCATACCTAGCTGGTAGGAATACAAGTGGTGCAGACACTAAGGAACAGCTTGGTAGTTTCTTACAAAGTTAAATATATATGCACCATATATTCCAACAATCCCACTTCCAGTTATTTATCCAAGAAAATGAAAACACATGCTCACATGAAAATCTATGCACATATGTTCATGGTGGTGTTATTCGTAATTGTCAAAAACTAGAAAATAACACAAACATCCCTCAACTGGTATATGGATTAGTATGGTATATGCATAAAATGGAATACCACTCTGCAATAAATTACTGACATATGGAAGAGTATAAGTGAATTTCGAATCTCTGTTGTTAAAAGAAACAAGCCAGATGTAGGGCAGCTGGTGATGTGGTGTTTGTGGTGCTAGATCCCATATGGCTGACTCACAGTTCAAGACCTAGATCCAACAACTTGAAAAATGTTGGGTATATGTGTGCATACGTGCCCAAAAATCCCAAAAGGAGAATGGAGGAGAAGGGACTGCAGCAGGGCAGTCCCTTGAGGGGGGATGCTTTCTCACTTTCTCTCTTTCTGTTTGCTTCTGTCTGTCTTTGGCAAGTACAGAAGCCCTAAAGCAAATTGAAAAAATAAATAAAACAAAAGCTCATAGCAAATTGTATCTCAGTAGAATGGCACTAAGGCTGAGCAATATACCCAAAGAAATTCATGCCCACTCAGAAATTCGGTGTGATCTTATTTGGAAATAAGTTTCTTTGCAAATGTAATCAAAGTGAGGTCATACTTCTTGCCTAAGATGAGCCCTGAATCATGTGACTGATGTCATCGTACAAAGAGAGAAGTCTGGACGCACAGACACCCAAGGTCCGCACACACAGCAGCTGACGGAGCCATCCAGGAGTTCCCAGGCCAGGGGGTGCCCGGGGTGCCGGCCGGCTCTCACCAGGAGCAGGAAGCAATGCCGATCTTTCTCCCAGAATCTTCAGACATAGCGTGGCCCTGACATCAACAACAGCTTGAGGTTTAAATTCAAGCTCCCAGAACGACTAGAGAATAAATGCCCTGGTTCTAAGGCACCAAGCTCACAGGACTTCGGTATGGCAGCTCAGAAAACTAATAACAAGACTTGACCTCCCAATATAAGTAATTAAAAGCACACAAAAATGAGAAATAGCAGATAAATCTCAAAAATCACCAGAAAAATAAAGCTGATATACCAGTATCACAAGAGAATGGATAAAACCAAAGATTAAAAAGTATTAATAAGAATAAACAGATTTTAATTAATAACAGACTAACAAACTACCATGATTATGCACCAACCATAAGCATTTATATACTAACAAAATAGCCAGAAAATGCTAAAACAAACACTGAGAGCATTAAGAGAAACTGAAAAATCTGTAATTGTAGGAGAGAAACACTACTCTCGGAATCTCACAAGTCAAAGACAATTAGAAGTATGAATGAGATACATGGATTACTTTTTTTTTTTGGAGAGGTTTTTGCTATAGGGTGCGTGTGCTCACCAGACAGACAGAGACAGAGAGACAGAAAGCGAGAAATCACCCCCCAGGGGGGAT